GATCCATACCATCTGTGATAATATGAAACTTGTTTAATTGCTCTTACATAATTATAGATTAATAGACTATCAATTTAAAAAGTTAGTACATATGATCATAAGACTTTATCAAAGGTGTCACTAGGTGCTTAAAAGATTCTGGGCTTGAGTGGCATAAGTGCTGGAAATTTTGGCTTTTCAGAATGATATCGATTGTGGTTTTCTTTCTGATTTTTCAAGATACCATCTGGGGATTAGGGGCACTGCCTCTGGACTTTATATTAGAAAAAGTAGTTTCTGTATATTTCTGCATCATTTTCAGTCATATGTTGCTGAAGAGAACATGAATGTGTTTCTTAAATTCTTCTGTTTGTTCCATTTCCTGTCATTTTTCAGTGTAAAACATCAATAAGACTAATTTGCTAACCACTGGGTGATAATTACTTGGACATTGTATATATTCGATCCTTTAACACCTCACAAAATTAAAGGATGCAATAAGAATTAAGGTTAATGACCTAGAAATGTACTGTTTTGTTTCGTACATTATATTAAAATAAATAACTGGCTCAGGTGACTCATCCTCATTGGGTTTCCAGTTTTGAATCTTAGTTCTATCTTGATCTTAACTTCTTGAAGGATATCAGACAATTTTCCAGTGGGAAAGCTACTTGTGGAATCCTCCTAACATATTCCATAGCAAAAACTGACAATATAAAATAAGTATTAAGGTGTTCAGCCATCTTGTGATCACAACAACATTTTAAAAGGCCTAACTCCCATTTTGACATTCTCTTGCCCTTCACTGTACATTGAATGTTATTACTCGTGCTAACATTTTCTTGCTGTTTCTCACATTTTATAATTTTTTTTAATTAATATCATTTTTTAACTAGTTCTGTAGTACTTTTATAGGCCTTTAAAGCTTCCATTATAGCAGACTATTTTATTTTTCATAATATAAATACCCAACTTACTGCTTTTTTTTTTTAAAGAAATTATCACTGTTGAATAACTTGTACCTAGGAACTTCAAAATTAAATTTGTGTAATTGTTTTCCAAGTCAAGCCAAGTTTCAATATTCAGATAGAATGAATGTAAGGTTTAGCAATAGGTAGATTAATGGATGAAGTTTTTGGAAGAAACTATAATTTTACATTAACTTCTGATGAAATTTTTTTGGAAACTTTTTTTAGTTATTTGGCTACATGATATTTTAGTATATAATATTATAGTATACTTGCTAAATACTGCACACATTTATATTACATAAAGGAGATTAAAACCTTTGTTTTAATATTGTTACAAAAAGTTTGTTTTTTGCCAATGTTGTATTTCATATTGTATTTCTCTCAATATTTCTGTTTGGATCAGTTTTATTCTTTAACTGGAATAAGATTGTTTTGATTATATTGTCAGTATCATAATTTTTCTTGTTCAAAATATTGTGGAGGTGAACTGAATATATGCATAAAAATTCTTATTGCTGTTCTAATTTTCTTTGTCTTTCTTTTTTTCTAGATATTTTAGGAAGGATATGGTAGTAGTTATTGTAAGAGGTCAACATGGGTGATCAACTGAAAGAAAAAGTGGTACACCCTTTTATTGATTTTCAACCTGATGACTGTTGGCAGGTTAAAGATGATGAAAGTAATATTTCTCATGAAAATACTATAGACTTGGGAAATTCTAAAAACAGCAACATAAGCTTTACTAAACAAAATACTACTGATAATTTGCCCTGTTCGTCAATTATTAATGGGGTACTTCTTGATGAATCTGATTCTAGTAGTAGTAAACTTAATAAGAGCAACTATCTTCCAGGTGTGGGTGAATTAAAGCAGAATAACGAAGACAATTTAGAATGTCGGGAGACTGGCCAATCAAACAACTGTAGCACTTCACAAAATACTATGGAAGATTTAAGAGTAGAGAGTGAACAGTTTTTGCAGAAACTGTCAGTTGTAGCCGATGAATTAAAGGAATCTTCCTCTAATTATGATGTTAAAAACTTGGCACCAAATAAACAATTGCATGATGAGGGGAAAAGTATTTGTGTTGTATCTGGAAGTGTAAAAAATGACTTTGACAATAAAACTGAAAATGGTAAATGTTGCAAAACTACAGAAAGCACATCAAAATCTATCAATTCTCAGAAACTTGGACATAGCCAAGTTACTGAAGGTACTTACTGTAGTAGCAATAATTTAAAAAATAGTAATTTATCAGAAAGTGAACCTTTGTTAAAGGCCAAAAATGATGAGTGCTTAACAAAAAATTATAAAAATGAGTCACAACAAAGTCAAAATGAAAATAACATTGAAAAGGAGCAGAGCTTTGCACATGAAATCACAGGCTGTGATGCTAATATAAAAGTTGCTTCACTCCAAGAAGATAATCTCAATAATAAAGAAACTGGGAAGGTAGAAAAAAGTATTGATGATTCAAGTGACTTATTGACTAAAGAAAATAACAGTGTTAAACAAAAAGTAATGGTTACTGAGTGTGAGGAGATCAAAGGCAATGAAGAAGAAAAAAGGGATGATCACAAAGATGACAATAGAAAGAATCTAGCAAGCAAAGACAATGAATCTTTAAATAAAGATTCAAGTATCATTGAAGAAGATAAATTGAAAACCAATGTCAGTACTTGTACGAACCTTCAAAATCACAGTGATCAAAATGGAACAACTGTAGAAAAAGATCTTGATAAACAATCTGTAGAAAAGCACTTTATTAATGAGAATAAAGAAGGCAAGATTGAGAAATTAATCAAACCACCAAAAGGTTTAGTAGTAAAGCCTGTAGAAGTAAAAGATAAAATTTCACAAAAATCTAGTCATCAACATAAAACTCAGTTACCACAATATACAAATGCAAAAGCTGCTGGTAAAGTCCAAGATAGGCCAAGTGATAAACTTGAAGTTAGTAATCGTCTTTCCACGAAGGGTCGAGTTAATAAGAAAACCTTTGATGGAACTAGTGCTCGTGATAAACAAACAAAGAAAACAGGAAAATGCAATGACTCTTTAACAAATATACCTGACATACTGAAATCTGGGCTTCTGAAACACCTTACCATTTCTGTTATTCCATCAAGTAAAAATGAAGAATCCCAAAAGTCATTAATGCAAAAGTCTATCCCAGAAAAGCCTCGGGATAAGCCAAGGGAAAAGCCAAAAGAAAAACCTCCAGAGCTTCACCAAGAAAAGTATAAAGAGCAGCCTCTGCCTCCTCTGCTAGAAAGTATATGTGGTAGTGTAGTTACAGATGAAATGGTAGAGAAGATTCTCAAAGAAGCAGAATTTCCTGAAATATTTAAAGACAAAGTAAACATTGGGAAATTTATTCCTGTAAAATTACCTGATAGCTACAACTTCAGACTGTGTGAAGATGAAGCATTATTAGAATGTCCATCAATGGTGACGCCTTTGCTGCTAAAAAAGAAAGATAAGTTTCCAACTAAAGTTACACTTCACAGTGAAAGTAACTTTAGTGAAGTAGGAAAAAATAGGGATGGGTTGTCTGAATCTATTGACAACAGTACTTCTAAAGTTAAATCTGAGAAAAATGTGAATGGACTAGAGAAGGAATCTGCAGAAAATAATGACAAACTAGAAAACATGGAAAAAATAAAAGAAAATACAAAAGACACGCAACAGGAATCTATAAAGACAGTAGTTAGTGGTGAAAAATCAGAATTAAAACCTAAAGAGTTGGAAGAAGCCTCAAAAGGTAAAGAACCTGAACAAAGCACAGATAATAATGATACTTCTAAAATTAAAAATGTGGGAGAAGAAACTGAGGATATATCTACAATATCTAAAGAGAAAACAGAAGGTCATACTGAAAAATTGAAACATGCAAATGATACGTCTGAAACAAGTAGTAAAGAGGAAGTACATTACAAAACTAATACTTCTTCATTTGACAAAGAAAACACAGTAGGTAAAACTGAGAAATTGTTAGAGGATACAAAAGGAACACAAAAATCTTTTAAGTTGTCATCTGATGAAGAAAAAGGAAGTGATAAAACTGAGAAAAGTAAAAAAGATACAAATGAAACAAGAGAATCATCTTCAGAAAACAATAAAAAAGTGCAAGAAGAAAGTAAAGAACTCTTCACTAGTAGTGCTGTTGGTTTTCTCACTGCCATAGGTTTAAGTCGAGTTCAAGAGTGGCATAAAAAAGATTTATTGAGGTCTAAAGAACGGCAAATACGCAGAGAAGGAAAAACAAAACAATTAGAAAATGAATCTCTGATCATGAAAATGGCCTATTTACAGGCTAAAAAGGCCAATGAACCATTTGTTTTTGGAAATCATAAGTGTGACAAATGTGAGTTTAAATCAGAATCTTCCATTGTGATGGATGGTCACTCTGCAGTACCCTTTGTGACACCACGTAGGGAATTTGGGTGTCATCTCTGTGACTTTTGCACAAGAGACCCAAAAGCAATTCTTTTTCACATGGAAGCTGAACATAAAAAGTTGGGTCAGCTCCCAGCTCCTTCTCATTTTCATGAGTGCCCCTTTTGTCCATTTGATACAAATCAGAAACAGAAGTTAAACAGTCATATGAATAGATGTCAGAAGTTTTTTGTTTTGGGTAGAAATCAGGCCACAGAACTTGAAATTTCAGCACAAACAGCAAAGCCTATAACTCTGATGGATATTAAGACATACTTGTATGAACGACAACTTGTAGAGATGGCTTCAGCAACAATGAGACGACCAGGTTGTCCATCAGGTTCTAGAGGGGGTCACAGAAAGCAGTCTCCAAGACAGCAGGGTAATGTTCCCAGATCTCTTGCTCCTGTTGGAGTGTTACCATACAATCGACCAATGTACCAACACCTAGCAGATAATGCAGTTCTACAGTCCAAATCACAAATTAGGGCTTTCAACAGAACCTCTGCTGGTTCTAGTAATAACAAGACTACCAATACACGTGTAACTTCATCATCTAGACAGGTTCCACTGACTGTTCCCACCAGTCAGATTTATAAAGTGGTTGAGGGTGGCAAGGTTCTTCCAATGATCACCACCACTAACTCAGCCATTAGTTGCAAACCAGTCACCCAAGTATCTAATGCGCATGATTCAGGTCCTCAGCCAGTTGCCCTCTTTACAAATGTAGCAGCAGGGGGTACTCATATGCCTACTAACAACACCAAAAGCCTGTTGAAGGCAGGTATGCCACCACCACCTCGACTGCAAGGACCCTTTCTCCCCAGTACTGGAAATTCAGCACCAGGAGAAACAATACTACCCAGTAACAGTTTTGTGATCTGTGAAATTTGTGACGGTTATATCAAAGATCAAGAACAATTACGAAATCACATGCAGTTGATTCACAAAGTGAAAATCCATCCAAAAATGCTTCAGAACAGACCTCCTCTTAACTGCCAAAAGTGTCAGTGGCGGTTCTTTACAGACCAGGGGCTTGAGCGACATTTGCTAGGGTCCCATGGACTGGTGACTTCTAACATGCAAGAGTTAGCACAGAAGAACCAGGACGCAGGTCGATGTACTATCTGTGGACTGGTGTATGCGTGTAAATTAGTTGCTCATATGAATCAGGTTCACAAGATAACACTAAAACCTGCACATCTGTCATACAAGTGCACAGTTTGTACAGCAACGTTTAATTTGTACAAACTCTTTGAAAATCATGTTTATGTAGTTCACAGTGGATCTGTCAAAAGACACGCTGATGATATATCCAGTAACCAGCCTACTAAGAAGCATGCTGGAGACAAGAACACCAAGATGGGAACTCCAAAGATTACTCCAAGATCTAGGTCTAGGAAGCCAGCGATGCCAGTCAAGATGGGAGCAGAGTGTGGAAAAACAAGGGACGATACATCAGTTTCAACCCAAGGAAATACCCCGAAAGAAGATGGCCATGCCAAGCAGAAGTGTGGAATAGAGGTTGGTGACATTTTTAATCACATTAAAGGCAAACACATCAAAAACTGTTCAGTTCAGGCCTGCCGGATAGAGCAGTGCCAGAAATGTCTTGGTTCATTTGATGGAATAGTTATTCTTCATACTTCAGACACTGGGCTGTCGAAGGAGTCCCCGAAGAAGGAACATACCTGTGGAGTGACGGAGGGAGGAGCTGAAAATGCTGACTGTTTATTGTGATAGGAGTGAATGTAGATGACAGACACTGTTAATGACCTTCAGACTGGTGAGCAGATTAGGACATTTTAATATTTCATCCAGGATATGTTAATAAAACTTAAAAAAAAAAAGGAAATCTGGTTTGAGCAATGTCAGGAATTACTTGATATTTTTCTTGTCAAAAGCCATGTTTCTAAAGTTTGTCCACTGGTGTTTGGATGACCAAACTCATTTACATGTACAGGTTTCATAATTACAAATATTTTCTTGAACTAGATTGTTTTTCTATTTTAGGACATCATTGTATTCATCATTAGTCAGTGTATGTAGAAAATTTTCCTATTGTTTTTGTGGTGTGTGCCTTCGGGAGGGTTATTAAAAGAAACTGATGATTTTAGCATGTTCTAAGGTAACAATAAATATCTAAAACCTGTTGTGTAATTTATAATAAAACTATTTCCACGTGTAAGTCTAATGGGTTCTTCCTATCTATTTATACTTTCAGATATATATATATAGTACCTTTCTAATACACATTTTTTACAGCATATAATTATTTAAGAGGGCTTCTATATGGACAGTTTGTAAGATGGAGGAAATTTCTTTAAAATGTTTTATCATGATTTTTAATTGCATCACCTCTTTCTTTTTGTTGTGTGTGTGTGTGTGTATATATATATATATCATTAAAGTAATCTATATTATAATAATAACAAACCAAACAATTTTTCCATATAGAAGCTCAAACGAACCACTATATGTAGAACAGATTCAGATTATTACCTTCATTGGTTGATAAACAACAATATGATGTTTGTTAGGATCCAATATATATTGTAAACCCGGATTAAGGAATCGTATCAGAAGGGACCAGAATAATGCATGTTAGTTCTTTTAAGAAACTTCCTCCAGATGAAATTGATATTTGAAAATCACAACTAGTTTAGTATGCATTTTCCATTTATAAACAAAGATAGTTCCTTAAACAAGTTTTGCCATTTTTCTCCATAATGTCTTTGCAGAAATCATAAATACTATATGTTTGTGTCTAGTATACAACACACATACATACATACATACACACGTACAAGATATGAACATTTATATCTTTACAAATTTGAATCAGTGAATGAATTAAAAACTGTTTTACGTTACAAAACATAAAAAGATGGAACTTTGTTATGATGATATGTTGTGATTATTTTAAAGTCATGAATTGCAGATTTGTGGAAATCACTTTTTTGACTGTTTAATTGTTTCAGGTTTATAAGGTATAACAATCCCAGTTTCACCATCATATACTGCAAACTTACAAATACGATGAAAATAAAAAGGCTTATGAAATATATGTGCTTTGTCAGGTAGATTAAATATTAATAGTATATTTGGCAACCATATTAACACCTTCGTCATTAAACTTTTTATTAGAAGGGAAAAAAATTGTCTGTGGATATACAAGGAAAGCATTTTCTGAAGATATATGTGGTATTGTTTAAGTTAATATTTGAGCAGTAACCACAACCTAACTTTTTTGGATGAAAACACACCAAATCTTACTTGGATTTGAGATGGATTTATTTTTCGTTTTCTTGTTTAACACTTCATACAAAATAGCTAGTTACCTTGACATTTTAATATGTTGAATGAGTTGAGTGCATATAGCACAGTTTATTTCCTGTGCAAGCTGTATTAAATAGAAGATGACTTATAAGTACAAAAACAATTTCTGTCACTGTTCTTGTAGAAATGCCCCTGTATTCACATTTTAAAGAACACAATACTATAATAGTCTCCTGGAATAGGTTTCATTCAGATTTGTATTGAATTAATAAATAGTTCAGTATTTATTTCAAAAGATAAAAGGTTTAATCTGAGCAAGGTTAACATTTTTTAAACTTGTTTAGGAATTATGTAGAATCTATGTATATTTTGTTTATAAACATAAATCTTTTTTTTTTTCAGGTAAAGCACTATTTATTTTATCTATTCTTGTCTTGATTCAACTTGTTTTTCACTGAAGTAGTAGCCATATACTCAGTAGCCCAAAAAGTACTATGGCAAATAATTTTATTAGAATTAGTTGAGTTAGAAGCCCTAATTAAGTAAACTTCTTTAATTACATCATCTAACTTCTTTATAAACTATTCTTAGCCAACAGAAGCAAGTAATGTATAATTTGTACTTGCAGTCAAATGAAAATCAGAAACTTTGTGAATATTCCTAAATTTCTTAAGTGTGTTTGAGAGGTAGCAAGGAAGAACTTGTGTGGTTGATTAGGAAGAAAGAAGAATAGTATTGTTTGTGTGCATGTGGAGAATATATCGTATCAGAGCATTTGTAATCTAAAACAGTATACATGGGATATACATAACTTAAAAACAGTATACATGGGATATACATAACTTAAAAACGGTATACATGGGATATACATAACTTAAAACGTAAAGTGGTTAAAGGTGTGTGTAAATTAATCTAAAACAGTATACGTGGGATATACATAACTTAAAAACGGTATACCTGGGAACTGTTTTTAAGTTATGTATATCCCATGTATTTATACATAACTTAAAAATGGTATACATGGGATATACATAACTTAAAACAGTATACGTGGGATATACATAACTTAAAACAGTATACATGGGATATACATAACTTAAAAACAGTATACATGGGATATACATAACTTAAAAACGGTATACATGGGATATACATAACTTAAAACGTAAAGTGGTTAAAGATGTGTGTAAATTATGCATGTTTTGCATGGTAATATATTAAGTAATGAAGACTAGCACAGACTTTTAAACAAGTTTTTATTTCTCATAAACTTAATGTTATATTAAGTATATTATATATCCTTTTATTTTTTTATAACTAGTTTCTTGTAACAAAAATTAAGAAATGTTTCATATTTATAATTGGTTATTATTGTGTATAATATTACCTTGGTTATTTTGCATTAAATATATCACCTGTAATAAAAAAAAATCTGTGTTGATTTTTAATTCAGCAGTACTCTTTAGTAACATAAGCATTTTTGAAGTCTAATTGTGAAATGTTTACTTATTTCTTTTACATAGGATTGATCATGACAGAACAACCTTCCGAATTTAATCTATAATACCTAAGATTCACTATGATGACAGGTTTAATTTGATTCATCAGTAATAATTAATAAATGTTTTAGTTCCTTTTTTCTAACATGTTAATTATCATTCAGATATTTCGAAAAAATAACTATTTTCTTACAGCAACCTTTCAGAATAGGTTCATTTCACTTTGTATCAAAACTTAAGTGAAGGTATTAGCATGAAAGTAAACATAAACACTGAGTCTTTAATGTGTACATGGTCTCCGGTGGAAGATGTAATGGAGTAACAGAATGATAGCAAGATTTACTAAAACAACAGAAAAAAAGGCAATTTTGAAAGTTTTTGTGACACCTATGGAGGAAATACTAGCCAATGTTAAAAAGTATATATACTGTATGATCCTGTTTTAGCCTTCCCTTATTTCAAGTGCATGTTTTTTGGTTTCTACCATGCTCTACCAGAATAAAAAGAATTCTGTTAGCACTAGGATAACAGAAACTGTGGAGTAGAGAACAAAATAGTTGATCATTACTAGTAATGTGGTAACTTGAATTAGGGACACAGTAAAGATGCTGAAAAAGATAACACTTCTCTCTTTCATTGTTTTGTGTGTGTGTGGAGGAGAAATATTGTTCATTCTACAGTATCACTGTGGCTATCTTCAGCTATTCCTGTACTGCTATTCACAGCAACACAAAGTAAGAATCTTCTATCTTATAGAAAGTGAATTGTTAATTAACAAGTCATAAATTGTTAAACCTTTTTCAAATTTCAGCATTTCTGTGGTATAACAAAGATTTGTATCTGCAAACAGTTTTGTCTATTATGCAAGTTATTATTGGCTATTATAGTTGGTAATAACTTGTCTGTAAGTCAAACTGTCCTGGAATGAACATTTTTGTTATAGTTCAGGAAATTTGAAACTAGTTTTTAAACCCATTCACTGCAGCTGGTATATATATATATATATATACTATAGCTATATTGTTTTTCGTTTGTTCTACTACATACTAACTA